CTTACATCCAGGCAGTACGTGAGTGTCATCGCGACCGACGGATCGCCGTGTTGGGGGTCCTGGTCAACGGTCTGTCCTCCTCCATCGCAGGTGGTCTCCTCACTCGACCTTGCCCTCCCACGCTGTCTTTCCCCTCTCATCAGATGTTCTGCCTTCCCTGACATGAGGAGAGAGAGGACTTTTATTGGAGGACTATGTTTCCGAGGGCTTGGACCTCACGGCTGACGGTGATTCGAAACGGCTGGCGAAGAGTAGTAGTCCGCGCCATCTGCCAGACGACGAATTCGGAAGTGGAGCTAGAGCTTAGGCTGGCTGGAGCTCGAGCTCGGAGCTTGAGAGGCTCTGGCGCCGTATTCTTTTTCCCACTACTTACAAAGTGGACTAGGCTTCTGGGTCCGACCGTGCCTCGCTTCTTCCCCTTTTCCGTTGATTTATCCGCGTGTCGCCGGTTTCACTCTAGCACTCGTCCGGTTCGCTCTAGCGATTAAGCTTGATGATCATGGATGGTCAGATGGTCATGACGATGGCTTTTTTTGTGTAAGAGCCAAGGTCATGAGTGGATTCTCTCTGTCTCTTTCTCTGGCACTCGCCCGAGAGAGAGGACAAGAGAAAGCGTCGTGGGAGACGGCGGATCGCCCAATGGGGAAATCCGTAACGAAGATTACAGTACCTTGTATGTACCCAGCACCTAAACAGGTGCTGCTATTGAAGCTGGAGAGTTTGCGCTATGCTCTCCCAGCCCACGAGTCCTCCATTTTTTCTACGAGTCAAGCCGGTCTTGGGGTCAGGCAGGTACAAGACACTAGGTCGCCTAGCTTCTGTTAGTCACGATGGCTAACCAACACTCGTGCCCGGTCACCGGAAAGCCCAGCAGGTGCTGACGCTGCAAGTGCACTCCTCACGATCAAATTGCTACAACAGGGAATTCGAGTTAGCCAGCTTGGGAAAATTAAGCATTCATGATGGAGCGAAGATGCCTGGGTTGAAACACGCCCCACTCACCAACGGAATGGCCGCGACAAGACCCCTCCTGCACTCCATACTACTCTACCGCATCGGGTATACGTACATGGCGAGAGAGCCATTGCCTTTGCGCCAATTTTTCATTAGAAAGCAAGCACAGCAAGCGGGCGGGCATGAGCCCAACCACTGCATGAGAGAAGGTTAACAGCGCCATCTCAACCAGGAGAGTCAGTGGAACGGGATAAGTGGATCCACGGAAGGGTGTTCCCGCCGTATTCCAGTGGAGAGAGACAGGGAGTGAACCGCCGGTTCTGGTCACCTAAATTCTTCATCCTCATCTTTTTGCTTCAGATCAACAAGGCCTGCATTTTGCTCACAAGTGGGTGTACGATTGAATTTCCTTGCCTTATGCCTGCCTGTCCACGTAGACGCCTACCACCTACCTACCCCGCCATTCTTGTCCTTGCGGAGTCTCGTACCGAGTATTGTACTTACTGAGCAGATCTCTTGACTCGCAGCTTTTTCGCTTTTCATCCGTTGCGATCGTCTTCTCCTCATCACTCCTTGCGTAAATGCGGAGGTGACACGGAGACCTGGATGTGCTTGGTCTTAGCCTGTCAATATGGTCGAATCTATAGGCACGCCATACAGACTACGTTATGGTGATGCCTATTCACCCACCACTTCATCACATTATCACTATAAACTCGACAATTAAGGACTAACAAGCACCTACATCCAACCATAAGAGCATCCGGTATACATCCGACCGTATCAAAGCTCCGTTCCCGCCACCGACACCCACAATCCCGTTTCCATAAAAAAGCTATAAACACTCAACAGACGGACACAATACCCGTTGCGTAAGTAGTGTATATTGGCATTGTCTGCGAAACACGAACCAGAATAACCGTATACCACCTGACCATTCTCTGCATTAGAACGGGCAAGTCAGCCGAGCCCCTGCTGCGGATAGGCAGCTACAGTACCTACTCTAGTAAGCGCTGTTCCAACTTTAACTTTGTGCGTCGGTTGAGAGCGATGATGTTGATGCTTATAGTAGTAACAGGTTTATTATGTTTAACCTGCTAAAGGGGCAGGCAAGGCACATCCCAACACACTAACCGTAGTCTAAAGTGTTAGGATGGAGGGATTGACACAGGTGTTGACTGACCACTCAGGCCCTGGTTATAACTAACGCACGGTCCTGATTCGTAGCTTGCATGAGATGATGAGAATTGAGTCCGGTTCCAGGAAGTTCGGTGGGGTTCTATGCTCTTTGCTTCGCAGATAGATACTCCTTATGGCTGTGTGCTAGCTAGTATGTTGAGGTAGCATGTGCATGCAGTGTGGCAGTATTTTGGGTGAGTGAGGGAGTGAGAGTAAGCTATCTACTATTTACCCTATAGGGCATTGCTACCTACCACACAACACAACCATTTCTACTTATCACTTCAGACAAAGTGTCAGACTAGAACAAAGACACAAAACTGTAAATAATCACAGAATAGAATACAATATCAACGAACGTAGATATGTAGAGTGACCCTGATGGGAACAAATGTATACATCAGAAACCCCGATTCGTACATGTAGATCAACTTTTTCTGTCGCATCAATCCAATTACCTATTCAGGTAGTTACCTAGTTACATACTGCTTATGGTGACCTACCTAACACTTAGTTACCTAGCGAGCTGCTTGTTTTCTCGATTGCCTGCATAAAGCGGGCACAGTACTTATCCCCCATGTCTCCACTCCGGTTAGTGTAATTTCTGTGTCGCTGCTCTGTTGTACACAGTACATACACAATAATCAGAGAGTGACCAGAATGTACTGTTATTTCTATTGATAGCCAACTAATATCTCCCTTTCTCTCCCCATCTTAATATGAAATCAGTCTAAATAGAACAACGAAATAAACAAGAAAGAACCAAACAACCAAAACAACCCATATCCTCAATAGTACTCTAATGTTTCATCCCACCCATCCCACACACATACCCACCCATACAACAACAATACAAACAACATCCATCCATCCATACACAGCCCCATCCCATCCCATGCCCATCCCATCCCCAATCCACCGATCAAATCCACCCAAGCAAAACACTAAGTACTGACTGACCCAACAATTGCGGGGAACAAAATTTAAAAACCGTCTAAGCAGTAGCCAATAACATCGCCCATTAAAGAACACTTATTCAGCCAAGCACACAGCCTTTCAGCCAATCATTGTGCAGAAGTTGGCAATCGTCTTGGTTTTGCTCTCTCCAGCTACCACGGGCATCCCCCGATTCCCCCTTGAAATTATTAATTGAATGAAATGTTTTCTTGACTTGACTACTAGGTAAGGTACCTAATACTACTAGTAATGACTAGGAGGTGTATGTGATCTGATCCGTTTTTCGGAGGCACCGGTCGGCCGGTCGGTCGGTCTGTCTGTCGTCTGTCGGCCGACCGAGGGAGGATGGGAGTGTGTCTTTGACCCACTATTTACTAAGTTACTTACTTGCTTACTACGTACAGTGGGTGGATGGGAGTATTATGTGTCGCGCGGTTGGGTACTGATGGTACCAAGATCTGATGATGATACTGTGTAGATGGTTATTGATTAGTGAGACATGAGTAAGTGTGTGAATTTCACTACAGTAGATCTGTAAGTAGGTGATGTATGTAAGTAGAGACATCTAGTTACTCCTTAGACTTGCTTCTACAAAGTATCACTACCAAGTGAACAAAAGCACACATACATACACAAATACCTACTTCTCTATGTATGTACCAACACTCAAAGTCCTATATCATCACATACATGCACACACACAGTATGACTCACTCCCCTCCCCTCCACTCCACTCTTCTCTTCCCTCTTCAAACAACTTCCCGCAAGCAACACAACAAAACGAAAAAGTAAGAGTGCCTAATATACACCCACCCATACACATCCACACACATCCCCGAACCAATAATCCCTCTATAGTAAAAAACCCCGTAACTTGGGCAGCAACCCATCTCAAATAGAAAACAAAAGTACCATAATAGCTAACTTTTTCATCCGGTTTTTTTTGCTTTTCTGCATGGGGTCAAGTCATGTTGTTGTCTTATGGAAGGTGGAAGAAGGTTCGTTCTGGATTCCTTACTAGTTAGTTAGTTAGTAGCTAGCTGGGCAGCGAACCGGCTGCTGCTGCTGCTGTTGCTGTGGTGGCTTGGTGGCTTGGATGGCTGCTGAGTAGTTCGTTGGATTAGTTGGTACAGAGTAAGTGGGTAGGTAGGGTGTCACCTGATGGTGATGGTGATGGGTATGCCATGTCTTGGCGGGAAGGATTGCGGTGGTGATGGAGATGTTTGGGTTTGGACTGGAATGGGCTTCTTCTTCTAATAGTTTTGTATTGAGACTGATGTATTCTTTTGGTGGATGTCTTGATCATGGGGATTTGGGATAGTGTCACGTGATATGCTTGTCTTTTGGTGTTGCTTTATGTCCATCTAGCGAGCTACAGGAGATGAGGATTTTATAGTTGTCTTTAGATGTAATTAGAGTAGCTATATTAGTATTTTAAAGACGTTTTATATGGGATATTCCCAATGAATAGTAATATCATTAGTCAAAGATCCTCCAAAGCATCGAGTATTATATAGTAGAATCCCCACGTTGTCTCAGAGCAAGAACAAGCGATGCACCATCATTCAAATGCCCCTTAGCACCGAGTATACCCCTAGCCTTCTCTTGCTGAGCAGGCTCGCGACGCCGTCTAAGGGCAAGCATGAGCGATGAAACATCGCTCAACTGCTCTTTCGTATCCGATATATCCGTATGATCCCCTGCACGAGCAGTTAGAATCACCATAATAAATCAACAATCAAGCAGATCTCCAATAAAACACCCAAAACAAGAATACTTCACTCATAGTCAAATAAAACAGGATCAACTTCAGGCTCATCTGAGTCATTGTCATCATCGCTGTCAGTCTGAGCGAGAGGCTGATTTATGAACCCTAGAGTAATAGGAGGAACAGGCTCAAGACTAAGCAGTCAAGATGACGAACTCTCATTAGAATCACTCTCAGGAGGGACCCAAGTTTCATCATCACTATCAGTCTCGTCAGACGGTAGTTCATCATGACCAGACCCAGAAGAACCCGGACGAACAGCACCATCCCCATCAGGAACATCCACACCATCCCCACCGCAATCAGAACTGACGGCATCCGAAACAGAAGACTCATCCACATCTCCGTCCGCAAAAAATTCCTGCTCAACAAGATCTAACTCACTTTCAGACCCAGACTCAAACCCAGGATCATACCCCGGACTAGGAGCATGTCTCCTCAACCCGCGCCGAAAAGTACGAAAGTACCTTCTCAGCATACACTCATTATTCGCAACCCAATTTCTGCCCATCTTCTTGATATACCCCTCGTCAGTGTGACTCCCTCGGAACCACGCCTGTTTCTCTTCATCTATGATAAGTCCCATTATCACCTTTGAGGACATCTTCTTCCTATTGCGATGCCAGGATATTCGTAAGGCCTCTTTGCATGCTTCTTCGTGGGAGGAATGGCCGTATACGATGATTAGACAGAGGTATCGCGTCCTGCGGTTGGTGTGGTCCCGGAAGTAGAGCTTCTGCGCTTGGAAGAGCTTTTCGTCAGAGCTGTCGCTCTCTTTTTCGGGATTCGGGCTGGCTTCGAAGGGTTCGAATTCGTAGCTCTCGCTCTTGGTGGTTGGGAAATATCGCTTGAGATTGAGGGGTATGATTGGCCAGATGGGCTCAATGGACTGGATGATTTTGTTGAGCTCGATGGGTTTGTTGGGCTCGGTGGGTTGGGTGCACTCATCTGGCTCTTCACACTCCATGGTGTGGCTGGGGTCGCTGGGCATTGTGAATGTTGTAGTTGAATAGAGAGGGCATGAGGCAACTCGGACAGGATGGTGGAGTACTACATTATGGTCCTGCTGTATTGGTCATTTTATATATTGTCGCAATTATACTTCTGCAGTTATATTGTTTAGGAATAATCCGGGAATATAACGAAACGCCAAGTTTCCTTCAACAGAGGCAAGCAGCACTGCTTTCTTTCCCTATATAATGGAGGAGTTTCATTTCACATGCTATATAAGGTCTACGCGGTATATACCACACGTATTCGAGGGAAATACACTCAATAACAAATGAAAGGCTGAAAGTTATTTCGAAGTGTGACTTGGGAGAAACTAAAGTTTCTGGTTTGCGCCTAAACATCATTTATATTTCAAGGCTGGATTTATCGAGTAGCCATCGGGAATCTCCAAATAATCGATGGGAGCAGGTATAATGATTCACATCTGCCGGTAATATCCAGCCGTTACATATTATTTCATTGTGGTTTGCAAAAGAAAGCTTCCTAATTCTGCTAGGGCTTAGAAACCAATGTCTGTCACTATATTACGTACACTAAGCTAGACACAGTAGTAGTGCTTTCACTTCCTCAGTCCTACTAAGCCACGCATCATTCTAAGGACGCAGAACTAAAACTTTTTCTATACTGGTATTATAAGCTAATTCGAATCACTTGACGGGCAAAATAGAGAAGCTTCCAGCCCAATTCTCGTGGGTGGTCTTTCCAAATGACAATTGAAAACATGAGATTTGCAACATCGTCTCCAGGGCATGTATGCATATAAAACTAAGTTTGTATATGGGCCATCATTGCTTGCAGCTTCTTATCCCTCTTTATCATTTCTGCCCTGTCTTATAAGCATAGCCTTCTTCGACCTCGTGATTGTGGCCCGTTCTCAGATCGAGTGGTCGGTGTACATCATAGTCGGTGCAAACAAGACAGGCAGATTCTTCTTTGCTAATTTCTTCAATATTCCCGTGCTCGGTAGGGGGCAGAGTCTTCCTTCTAGTGTAGCAAGCCTCCTTGGGAGGCTTAGTGAGCGTCACAACAGTGAGCGGCACGTCCTCTTCGACCTGTTGGCGGGATATACCCCATTTGCCTCGTGGGAACGCAGAGAGACTTTCTAGAGATTCTTTCAGTCTGATATGTTGGGGTCGCATATCCTGTGTGACAGTGTCCAATGGAACAATGTAGCTTGGCTCTATTTCTGCTACTTAGAAGCGCTCACCCGACTGAGAGATTTTGGACCTTGCTGTTGTTATCACCAGATCCCACCAGCTCAAATGTCGATGTCTAATTCTGGCTATCATCACTTTCTAGATGGTATGCAATTACCATAGAAGCAGATTGCTTATCTTGCAATTGCAATTTTCCATCTGTTCTTGACTGGAATATTGGAAATCCTGGAAGATCCATATTTCAAAAAAAAAAAAAAAAAAAAATTCAAACGCCGGACAGATCTGATGATACAGACTTGGAGACACTCCGTTACTGGAGAAGGAAGGCCTGACTATCGTCAAATTCGGTGACAGGACGAGCTCCGGTAAGGATACATAACTGTACTGTCAGACTGTACCACTCGATATCTTCGACGGGCTTCAGACAGAAACAGCTCCCTGTCAGATGGTTGCAAATTAGCTTTTATCGCAGTATATAGAAGTGCTGCTCGACTGGACGCATATATTTCGTGCAAAATGAGGCTTCCTTTTTTATTATCAACAATCCGCTGGGTACAGCTAATCCCCAGCCTATGCAGTGACAGCGTGCATTATGCAATATACCCATGCTTTTGACACTGTGCCTTGGGAGCGAGATGTCCCATTCCTGGGCTGTCTGCACGATGATGGGCAGACACTAGTGGCCATATTTGCTCAACTTGAGTACAGTTCAGAAGACCGGATGGCGTTTATGACTAGTCCTGCTAGCATGCCCAAGTTGCAGAGATGTTATCGAGTATTCTAGTGCAAAATCTTTCCACCTGATTATCTTTGGAAGATACAAAGCTTTATTTGGCTGAAGATAATTTTTATGTCTCATTTTTCGCTTCGGAAAGCACGCGAACCAGCTCAGGGCCAACAACTTCAGTGAAGCATACGATGTCTCCGCCGCGCCAGAAATCAAGTGCACCGGCGACATTTCGGGCCCCTGCGGCCGATGTTAGTTGGTTGAGCCCCTCGCAGTACCTCTCCAACTGCAGCGCAGTACGCAAGAAGACTACCATTGTCCCTGTCCGTTCCTGTCGCGTCCATGTGCATCAGGAACTCTGATGAATGGTCAAGAGGGTTGAGTTTCCTGTGCTTCGATTTGGACGCAGTAACTGGTTTCAAAGGACTGTTATCCTACCAGGCATTTAGCATCCAGCGAACTTATATGCTTTTGCTGGACTTTGGGTAGACTGCTTGCTATGCTATAGTTTCAATCTTTCTCTTCTTCACAGCAATCGACGTGCCAGGACCAGATCCTATTGTCGTGTCAGTTCTGGCTTGACGCTATGAGTTATTATACTATACTCACAGGCTTTCAAAGATATTGCTACTTTTGAGTCATTAGTTGTAGCCTCTAGAAATCGATAAATTGTAAAAACAAAATCATAGTCTGAATATCCGGATCATTGATTCGAAACGGCCCATGTCGGCGAGCCATAGATACGCGGCGGTAGCGGCTTCAACAACCCCCACTCTATTGTATACTCTATCTTATCACTCGAGCTTTTAATTACCGGGGTCCTCTCCGGAATGTAGAGCTCTTTCGACGACAGCTTGATATTCAATCTTGGCTAACTCAGCCCATCGTCAGAACCAAGAACCAAATTCATCGTAGAGCGGCCGAAGCTTCTGGACCTTTGGCAACTGGTATTTAGTTGGAGCAGATTCAGGAGGGTAGACATTTTGTTTAGAATAAATAGAAGATGATGGTATCTTCTGCACTCTGCTTCCAGGGTAGGCTGGACGACATCTGGAAGATTTCTTGTCCACATTGACAGGGGCATTCTAGTCATCCTACTTTGAGGAATTCTGTACATGGCCCCATGCCCTTTGTTTGTATGTGCAAGAATGCTTAAGATTCTCGACAAGGATGGTCCTGAGTGTCAATATGAGAATGGGGAATTATAGTACTGCATTCAGAGCAGGAGTATTTGCAATTGAAAGCTAGTGGCTGACTAGATGTCACTCTCGAATATCACCTGCATTGTATGTTCAATCCGCATGAGTATTTATGTCTCCTATCTCTGTAGGACATATCATGCTCGTGCACGTGTGTATGTATTTGTTTTTATTTGTCTGTAGGTTGTGAAGAACCCGTAGATCTGTTGTATGCTTTTGAAGTGGAGCTGACATTCTCGAAGAGAAACAACGCTATCAGCCGCAGTTTAGCGACGAAGCCATGCTTTCTCATTTGGTCGTGATGTGGACAAGAGAATATGCTGGACCTGGAGTTGCTGGGACAGACATATCGTCGTCCAAGTCCTCAGAAATGCTAGGATAGTACTTCTTTGAAATATATTCGGCAGGAATAGTGGTAATTGTATTAGTGGCGTGCCCTATCTCAAGGGAACGCACAGTGGTAGCTCTACCACACGTATGGGAAAATCATCTTCCCCTTGTTCGTCAATGTGGGTGTCTTGGAAAAGCCAGAGAAGCAAGATGTAACCAGGGTATGTCAAGAGAAGTCTAAACAATTGGCAGACATTAGGATAGTACTGCCTTAATGTTGCATCGGCAAATGCACGAGACCAGAGAAGACTATTGTAGAGACTTTGCAATTATCCCCAAGCATCAAGGCCGTGACTTTCTCTCACAGCAATAGCTGTCGGTGGGTTTATCCTGGCCGGACCATAATTGATCCCAATGATAATCAGGTTGGTAGATTCAGACACGCCCAAATTGTATTTCGTCGATCAGATTGACCTACTCATAGATATGCTGTGCGCGTTATGAGGATATTAATTCTGCTCAACAATAGTAAATCTTCCCCGCTAGACTGTACACAAGTGATTTCTATACTGACTTCTCTGTCTCTCAGGTACGCCACGGCATATAGTATATGAAGTTAGACATCTACCATACCTCGATGGCAGGAACTTAATGTTAATGTGGAAGCTGTTGCATCATTTGAGATCGGCTCAGTTTCAGTCCCATTTCATGGTCCCCTTCCCTTCTTGCCCTTGCTAACCAAGTTGAGGAAAAGGGCATCAATCTTCGATGGCACATATTATCATTTAGCTGCATCACTGTCTATTATAAGGCTCGATTTGGGACGGTAGAACCGTGGTTGATGGCAATTCCTCCTCTGATATAAAAAAATATATGCCCGGGAGGGTTTCGCTCTTTAAATTGCGCCGAACGAATCATCTATCATTGGCGCTAAATGGTGCACAACATTGCCAATATCTTCGGTATTTCTGTAGTAGTGTATGAATAAACTGGAGATAGGGTATTATAGTAAATTAAAAGAGAAAGCCTCAAAGGGGCTGAATTGAGTAGGTTATGTATACCTGATGTATACTACTATAGCTTGTTCAATGGCCACTACATAGAGTAGCTTTGACTGAAGCAGATAGTAAAGTGTGTATAGAGAAGAGAGAAGAAGAGGAAGAAGACTAGAAACAAGATATATTTATAGCCTTGACCAGAAACGTGAATTATCCCCTCCACCTTCACCTATACCATAATCAATCTCCAACATATTCATCCTCAAGATTGAATACCCACCAACCCTATTCCCATATTCCCAACCCACCCAGCAAAAGCAATCTCCTCTCCCCAAATCTAGCAGCAGAAAAGAAAGAACAACAAAAAGCAAAGATACACACACACACACACACACACACACATCACTTCGCCTCCGCACTCCCTAGCCCAGATGCCAACACACCCACCACCCCTCAACACATCTCACACTTGCCTGTCATCCCATCTCCACTTCCGATCGTCATCTACCTCACAGATCATCCCAGTCCCTCCACTCCGAAAGATAAACCAACCAAACAAACAAGTCAGTACTAAGATCCAATACTCCGATGGAAGCTTCACCCCCATT